GGAAGGGATCATGGTTCATCCCTGGTCTAGCTCTGTGGCAGGGGTGGGGGGAGCAGAAGTGGATGCAACCCAAAACCAGATCAGGCTGTGCTGGGAGAGAGGACATGAGAATCTGGCAATTGGGAAGAGTGGTCACTGCTCCTCCATTGCCAAATTTCCCAACCCATGGGGAGTCAGATGCAGTGGCTTGTCAAGCCACATTTGATTTGTAAACTAGAGGTTGAGAACCCCTGGTCTTATACACTTTGGGCTTTTAGGCTAGGGACAAACATTCAAAAAGCCTGAGCCTGAATTGATTTAATCCTTGCAAGTTAGTCTAACCTGGTTAGATTAAATCACTTTGTAACTGCACTGTCATCCAAGACATGCAGGTACATGCCTGCAGTGGCTCAGACTAGAAGCTGGGGGCACTAGAGCAGTCCTCCCTTCCCTTATACAGTACTGAATTGAAGGGGAGGAGGGGGCATGGCCAGGACCTGGCAGGATGCTCTAATTAGCCCAGCATGGAATTGATAGCACTGTCTGTCACCCCCTAAGTCAGTGTTTATCATCCCATTAAGAAAACAATAGAGGGAAATTTCTGTTGATTCTCCCTGCTGATTCAGCAAGGACTGTAGCAAGCATGTGGTCTGCCAGCTAATACACAGACACCTCTCTGCAAGGCAGAGGGGAGGGGGGAATTCCTGCTTAGCTAGGAGTGGTGAGGGGAAGTGGGGGAGCAAACAGCTCTTCTTAAACAGCTTTTACAAGGAAGGACATTCAGCTACCTGTTGATTAGCTCCAAAAAGCCTGTCTGCCTTGGTTCTCTCCCACAGCACGGACTGTAGCTAGTATGTGGTCTGCTAGCTAATGCTGAGGTGTCTGTGTAAGGCAGAGGGGAGTAGGAAATAATCCCTTCCTAGCAGGGAGAAGCCAGGCAGACACTGCTGTGCCTGCAAGTCTCAGCTGAGTTGCAGCCAGGGAGCAAAGGGGAGGGGTCAGCCCTGCTGTGGAGCAGAGAGCCCTGCCCAGCCCAGCCCAGAGAACATGTCAGGATGCTGGGGTTGTCTGGTTTATCTTAAATCAGCAAGGGGTCTGGGACAGACATTGCATAAACTGGTTTGACCAAAATCAGTTAAGTTTGATACTATATTCAGCCAGGTTTATCTCAAACCATTTTCAACTATTTTCAAACTGGTTTATGTACACTAAACATCTGTTCTGTTACAGGTTTAAACCAGTTTCTGATCACTTAAACCAGTTTATGTATAATGTCCGTCCCTAGCCTTATTGGTAAAATGGCCATTCTCCTGGTGAAAAGTGAAGTCTGTACCCAGCCTGAAAGACTAACTCATTCAGAAAGGCATCATCGGATACTTTGAATTGACCTGCATAGATTAGGAGCATTAAATAGAAGAGAATAAAGTATTTTACAGACAAAGGACAAGAGAGAGGGAGGGAAAGGCTAGGGGGATGGGCCACTGTTAACACAGATATGTGAAAGCATGTTCAGGCACCTTCGGTATCTGATGATAGTTCATATTTGTTTATAGATTTTGGTTAACACAACAAAGAACTTTACATCCAAAAGAAAGGTTTTTGGTAGTGCCTACCTGTGAAAGGCCTGAATAGAATAAATGCATACATTCAGGGAAAAATCTCCCTGTTAGAAATGCTGAGTCCCTGACCACCATGGGAAATAGCTGTATGTTTCTTTAGTAATTATATGTAGTTAAATATGGACTAGTGCACAGTGAGAAACTTTCTGGCTTTGAAGGTTGGGTGAAAAAGAAACAATTGGCACCTTTTATTGTCTGCAGGTTCTTGCACATTTGATTGTCTCTTCATCTCAGCATTCTCCAGCCTTCTGCTGTGGGTGGAGGATGTGAAGATGGTGGTCAAGTGTGACAACACACAACAGAAGCTAGGAACAATAACCTGGATTTTAGGGCATGCTGACCCAAAACATTTCCCTTAGCTGGGACTGATGGGCCAATAGTTAGGGCATGGTGACCCGCTGTGCGAGTCTGGGAAAAGAACCCCATACTTTCCAAAAGGTTGTAGGTGTAGCAGGAAATACTTAGTCCTCTCTCACATTTTCATAGGGGACACAAGAAAGATTATAGAACTACAGTTTGTCTAGAACAGCTGCAGAGCTCCTCAGCAGTTTCACAAAACTCTGTACATGCTTCCTTGACAGCACCTATCCTCTGGTACTGGCGGGGGGGAGAGGAGAGGGGAAGGGGTGGTGGTGTTCTTTAGCTATTTTTAATTTAGCTTTGTTTAAAAATGTCCTAGTGATGCATAAAATGTATTTTTATATCTTTCCTCATTTTTGCCTCTTTCACATAGACATCTCCTCCTGTTCCTGCTCCCATTGTCATGTTTGCATTTTGCTTTAACCAATCATTGGATTAAAAGGATAAATGGCATTGGGAGCAGCCGGAACATCCTAGGCCATTCTCCTTCCCAAGGCAGTGCCATCTCATTTGGCCACAGAGTAATCATTCCTTTTGCCTGATCTCCTTCTTGCCCTACATATCTTTTCCTTTTGGCTGCCCAGTGGACCACCTTCAAAACAGGGGATTGTAACAAGGAACCCTAGCCCTGTTATCAGGAAGCAGAGCAGCCCCTTTAAATCCAGAACCTTCCAAGCGCAGCCATCCAGTCGAGAAGGGGTTAAGGATTGAGCCCTGCCATCTGGTCAGGTGACAGGAAGGGGAAGGCCCGAACTATATAAACCTCAAGCGGAGAAGGCCAAGGGCTGCAGCGAGGGAGATTCCTGATGACTATGGAGCAGCTGTGGCAGCCTTCTTGGGAAAAATGTGCCACACTGTGAGACAGAAGCACAATCATGTGTAAGCGGGCAGTTTGCCTGTCTTATTTCTATTTTTGTTATATGGCCATAGGGGTCTATGGTTTACGTTAATGTTAAAGCTGGTGGTTTGTGGCTGAGGCTGTAGGAGAGGAGGAGGCCTCATTAACACTGATGGGGTGCCATGATAGAGGCCTCAAGAAGTCCTGGTGCGCTAGGATTGCAGCACTAGGGCCACAAGCCCAGAGTCTCTTGAAGGGAAGATAGGAGCCTCGAAGCCAGGTCCTAGTGGGCAGCCTTAGGCGAACAGCCCTAGCTACAGAAAGAGGGGCAAAGCCGGATGGGGCTGAGGCCCCAACAGCCTGATGCCACAGGGGTTCGGTGTAGAAGAGCCAGTAGGCCCAGTGTCTGAAATGGAGGGCCTTGAGCCCAAGCAGGTTAGAGAGCTTGAGCCTCAGAGTCAAGCCCTGCTTAGTGGGCTTTGGCTGAGAGGCCTAGCTAGAGAGAGAGAGAGCGGGTAAGCCCTTAGCGGCCAAGACCCCAACATAAAGCGAAAATTATAAAACATCTGCGAGGCATGGGGCACATCAAGGAGAGGTAGAAGTGTGCATTTTGACCTTAAGGCAACAGCACATTATCATACAGATGGTGAGCCTAGAGCCTGTCTGGGAACCTTTTGGGTCAGTCTTCCTGTTTTTAAGAACCAAGTAACATCAAGTTGTGGCAGATGAGTAAAGGAGGTGAAGCTGATCCCCAGGGGAGGAAAATACAGCAAGACTTGACAGGTGCCCACTCACCGGCCTACAAAAAAAAAAAAAGCAGCCAAAGATGGCACCCTGTCACAGGGATGGAGGGTAAGCTCTGACTTAATGGTTAGGACATTTGGCTGAGAAGCAGGAGATGGGTGTTCAAACATCCTGCCTGACTGAGGAGGGGTTAAAAACCTGGGTTTCTGTTGCTTCCTGGGGTACATAACCTAACGGCTAGGCTATTGAGTTAAAAGGCTGCTTTCTCCGTGTCAAGTCATTAGGCCTATCTTTTCTCTGATGCGTGGTTTGGAGACTTATATGAGGTTTATGCATTGTGCACTGAATGTATGCATTTTCCAGGCAGATAGGACTGCAACAGAGTCTCAGTGGAGTTAAATGTCCAAGTGGTCATACTTCTAAATATGCACAAGAAGACAAGTCTAGTCAAGCAGAGTAAAATGGGATCTGGGCCAAATATGTGAAATAAGATTTGGGCCCTAGTCCCTGTGTCTTAGCTCTCCATCTGTAAAATGGGGATATGACACCCTTACTTCTCATGGGTGTTGAGAAGATAAATTAATTTATCTTCATTCATTCATTGTATCCCCTGAGATACAATAATAAAAAGTGCTACAGAAAAGTCCATAAGGAAATTAACAATCCTGCCTTCCTAAATTGGAGCTTACACCAGCAGCAGATAAGGCATTTTGAAGCTCAGCTCCATCACAACCTTCTGTTTCATTCCCTGACAAAATGTCAACCCTCTTCTCACCCCCCTTTCCTGTGGGGCAGGAGGGAGCAGCTGGTGGAGATGGCTGCAGTACCTCAGCCAGATTTAAACAAGCAGAATTTTCTTCTGCACAGGGGGAATTGTACTGTGGGAAACTCTGGTCAGTTTAAGTTTACTGTGCACTGCGTAAGCAGAGAAATTTGGCAGACCAAACAATCTGTCCCTCAGGAATACTGAAAAATGAATGTAAACTTCCATTACCTTGCTTTCTCTGTCCAGCTTGGTTACTTATGCTGTATACTAAGTACACTAGCATCTGGAGTGCTTTGAGCAACAGAAGGAAGCCTTTTCCTGCAGCAAAAGTAAATTTTTGTAGAACATTTACAACTTGCAAATACAGGGATCTGCATGTGCATTGTTTCCCACTGTCAGGTTTTTGTTTTGTTTTTTTTTAAATCAAAGCAGCCCCATATTCAAGGTATACTTGAATTGGATAGCTGTACTCCTCCAATTAACCTTAAAATTCAGGTTAGAGATGTAATATGATTCCCGGATTTCCCCTTAACTTCTTAGCCCCATTTCTCCACCTTCATTATCCATTAACCTAGTGACATTATCTGAAGGCTGAAAACATAAAGGAAACAAACATTGGTTAATGAGGTTTGCACCTGGGGATAGCAAACAAAGCTGATCTCTATGCCTGTGAACATCTAAAGGGCAAGCTCACTGCAATAGAAGAGCAACAGTTAAAGTTTAAGTGGTGATAACCCTATCCGATGGGAAAGAAAAAGCACCTTTTCAGATAAGGGACTTTTCTTTCCCTCTCTCCCTGCCTCATTATCTTGCAAAAGTCTGTGTTGTAGTTTACTGTGTACTCTTTAGTAAACATAACTTTGCCTTTGGTTCCTTTCTTGCACAGAAAAAGGGGTGAAGATTCCAGTAGCAAGGAGAAAACTGAACAGCATATTTTCTTTTGAATATCCAGACTAAATTTAAATCCAGTTCATAGTTTCGGCTACCCTGGAACTTCAGAGACATTTCAGTTTGTATTTTGGACTTGAGCTTGGAGTGTTGAACCCATCTCTGCCTGAAGTCAATGGCTTCTATAATGTACACTAAACAAAACAAGTATTTTATACAACATCATTCAGACGCTGCCACAAGGCTAGTTGGTTGGACAGAGACTGTCTTTGTTAGTTAACTGCTTTAGAACTAGCAAGGCACAAACTATTTTGCTGTTTAGTTTTAACAAAAATAGCTAAAGATTTTTTGGCAAGGCAGAGACCTATTTTGTTTTTAAAAAATACACATTTAAATGTATAACAATTCTTTTATTAAATTATATCAATTCCAAGACTCCACTACTGTCCCTTCTATTCCATTTAGGACCCACAGCACCCTACCTTTTCCCTTCTTTTAGTCTCCCATCTGCTCAGAGAGTCACATTCCATCCGTTGCTGCAAAGATGGTAAGCCTTTGTTAGTTAATTGCTTTAGATCTAGCAAGGATTAAAATGTTTTTCTGTTTTATTAAAAATGGCTAAAACAACTAGTGAGATAATTCCACCCCCACCCCAACCCTGGGTGCTGAAAGAACTTGCTAGGCCTTTGACTTATGTTGACCACTGAAGAGGAGGGGAGAGGAGGAGGTGCACACAGCGGAGGGAAGGGAAAGAAGAGTCTTACCCACCAGGGCTCTCCTCACTTGAGTGGCAGCTGCTATAGCAACATAGGTTTGGGTTGCTGCTGCTTAGGGACAATCAGTGGCATGGGCTTCCTGGGGCATACTCTTTGTGCCCTGTTTGTCTCCCAGCCCCACCACCCATCCCTAGGAGCAAGGCTGTTTCCCATGGCAAAGCCTCTGGGGGAGGGCATCATTCCACCCCTCTCCTTCCCCAGATATGCTGCTGGGCATGGGGCTGTGCCTGTCCAGGCCCTTTGGCCATACTGTACCTGCCATGGCAAAAACTACTGGGGGCAGGCAACCATATTGGTACCCCTTCTCAGTCAGCACCTGGGACTTGCTTGCTCCACCCTAGTTACATTATTGAGACAAGGGGTGAAAAATGAACCCATTAAGCAGTGGTCCTAAACTGTTATCCATAGACTACATGATAAATTGGTATTCAGATTGTACCAGCACCCACTTTTCAAAAGTTTAATGGTAAAGGTACACTGTGCTCTTTGAGAACTTTTGAGGATTGACAGTGGCCCATTGGTTAACAAAGTCTGTGAACCAATTTACTGAGCTTACTCCCTTCATCCTTTTCTAGGATTACACAAAACTCCAGTCTTGAACACACACTGGTACATGATGTTGTGAGGAGAGCACATGCTATGCCAGGGGTCAGCAACCCCCAGCACATGTGAAGCCATTTTACTCAATACACCACAGCTGGCCAGGCTCTGGGCAGGGCCCTGCTGCTGGCCATGGAGCCTGGGTTGCCCACAGCAGGCAGTGGGGAGGCTGCAAGTGTATGCACTGGGGTCTGGAGAGCCCTGGCCCAACTTGGTGCCTATGGCAGGTGCACTTATGCCTCAGGGAGGATGGCAATGAAGGGGACAGGGCTGCACTGCCACAACAAGGATTGGGCCCCTTGCAGCTCCCCTGCTGTCCAACCCTGGCATGCCAACATCTTACAAGTCAAGGTTGCAGGGGGTTTTGGCACACTGCCCAAAAACTTTGCCAACCCCTATGCTATACCTTTTAAAAGATTGTAGCAGAGGCTGCTCTCTACTTCTGCACTCCTCTCATTGTGGAA